AGTTACTGAATATAATTATTCCGCAATATGAAAAATTGACCTTTACCCTGCCTGACGCTCGTAAATTCAGGCAATGATCCATATTAAATTTCCACGTAGGTGATCTGGGTTTAATCCCGACTATGTTCGATTTTTTGAATTCATTTTTTAATTTAATCCTATGTTTTCATCTTTATAAATGATGTTTGGCTTTTTTTCTGTGTGAATTTTGCGCTAGTTTCAGTTTTTTTTTTTTTTTTTTTTTTTTTTTTTAAAATGAAATCTATTAAATCCTTGTATTTTTTAAAGACTCGAGTTATATTTTTAGGTACATTGTACATGTATTTTTACTTCGAACAGCTATAAATGTAATTTTACATGCAAAGAATATCACATCTAAGGATATCTATTCGGATGGAAGACCTCTCTTTGCTCCCAACGATTTTCTAGTTAACTTTTTTTTTCACTGCTTTTCCAAATTATGGCAAGACAATCAACGTTGATTATGTAAAGACAGACAAGAATAAGATAAATTAGCACCTTGCAGGACAAGTGTCACCTAAATAATCAACTCATTTCTCGGGTCCAGGTGTCATTTTAATGTTCAGGTAAAGATACTGATTAACTCGTAACTAAACGTTTGCGTACACATAGCCACATGGAGGTATAGAGGGTAAATTACATAGCAGGAGTTCCTTTTGACTTCAAAGAATTAAGGTTTCGAGAGGCTAAAAGTTTGAGAGATAAAGAGTAAAATTGTTCAGTTATGGAAGGGGAGGGGGGACGGTGGAATCGAGAATGGAGACACTCTTTAAGCGATCAAAAACTTCGAGAGATGGAAATTCGAACTATCAAGAATTACCTGTGATTTTAATTTAAAGATCTATCTTTAAAGCACATACACTATAAAGGCCTCTTGCCTTAACATTTTTCCCATGAATTCAAGCCTAAAGGACAATTTAATACTTGATAGAAAACCCTAGTACTGTGTGAATGACATTTGCACAAAAACTCCTCTGTTTGACCTTTGGCGAGTTCATTCAAAATCTTTTCAAACAGTTGGTTTTAGGCTGGATTTTACAAATAGCAAAGCTTTAATTCACGTAAGACTTCAAAACCTCACTGACAAGACAATGAAAAGAGCTGTGTAGAGAAGAGTTAAACAGATCTTATATTTATAAAAAGTGATTTGCATATATGACTCTTTATATATATATATATATATATATATATATATATATATATATATATATATATATATATATATATATATATATATATATATATATATATATATATATATATATATATAAGATATATATATATATATATAAGATATATATATATATATATATATATATATATATATATATATATATATATATATATATATATATATATATATATATATATATATATATATATATATATATATATATATAAGATATATAAGAAATATAGGACTTTCATAAGGTCGATCCATAGATATATCGACGAACACGAAGTGCGAGGTCCATCTGCTATTATTATGGAATGACCGAATGAAAGGGCTACATTTGTTATAATATTGACAAAAACAAAATTTGAAAATAATGGGAACATCAAGCCATAAGCAATCCCTTATCTTTTTTAACACGTAGAGACTACAGATCAAAATAAATTAAGCTGAGACTAGAGATCAAAATAAAGCTGTTTTACATGATTTATGTTTGTTTATACTGATGGAGTAATTTAGGGAATTTAATAATAATATGAAAGGCTACAATTGTTTTATTATGCTTTGTATCGATTAATGAAATACACGTCTCATATGTTTTAATGAAATATATGGAAATAACGAACAGTATTCAAGCTCAGAAGTCCATTAAAATAGAAAATATAATGTAGTATTATAATTGACCGAATGAATGGGCTACATTTGTTTGTTATATTATTTTTTTTATTGAGATTGACAGAACAAAATTAATTTGAAAAAGAGGAACAAAGTTTTCTCTCTTTTTACACATACACACTAGACATCTAAACAAAATAAGCTGTTTTTATGCCACATCGTGTTTCCTTTATTCTGAAGGAATAATTTAGGGAATGTAAAATAATAAAATGCTAAATTTGTTCATGTTTTTTTTTTTTTGGCATAATTTTTTCTTGATATATTAAACATCTATGTTCACTATGTAGAGTAGTTCCACATTCAAGATATTGTTATGTCATACCCATTATGACGTCAGAATTACAAAGAGGAGTTGATATATCTTTTTTAAAGAAAGTCTGGGTCTATCCCAGTTTTTAAGTTTACAATTAGAAAGTACAGGTCCATCCGCATTTGTATACCTTGGCACGTGAATTACTAATCTCTGTACAATGTATGAAAATAATATATATATATATATATATATATATATATATATATATATATATATATATATATATATATATATATATATATATATATATATATATATATATATATATATATATATATAATTCCAATCTTAATTTTATTTATTGATTTCCTGTGTTTTGATTGGACGAGAACAAATTCAAGAAAAAGTTTACACATCGATAAATTCTAAATCAGAACTACTTTCTTGACCTAGCTTTTATTGTAAAAAAAAAAAAAAGAAAAAAAAAGAAGAAACAAACAAACAACCCCTCAAATTCTGTGTTTTAGCTAAACAATTACAGAAACTTGAAATTAAATAAAAACAAAACTGACGACATACAGGACTGTCAGACGGCAATATTATGTTTATGTCACTGTTAGATCACGAGCGTGAATTTTAAATCTCTGAAGTCATATTCTCGACGTTCCTAATAGGCCTACAAAACAAATCAGCTCGGTTCTCGGTAGGGCTGTGATAGGAAAGAGAAACGTACCTTAAGGAGGTTGGATCCTGTCATCAGAAGTAATGAGAATTTTTTATCAAGTATATTTTTAGAATTTATACACATAGCTTTATTAAAAATCAAAACAAAAAATGGGGGTCAATGCGCTTCGTTTGGCGCTACAGAGCATTTAGTTTGACCTTTTTGCACTGAAAATACATCTTACACATAAATCAATTTTAAAGTTTTTCCTTCAATATTTTTTGTTCAAATAAATTATGGGAACAAAAACAGTCTTATTTTATCTTAAATAGACACATTAAAATTTGTGACAACGAGGAAATTTTCAAATTACTCCGCATGTTCAATTATTTGACCTTTTTGTACTCAAACATTTTCATTTTTCTGGCATTAAAAATTTAACAAGCAAAAAAATCATTAGAAAGTAATGACATTTTACTGAATTTAAGAAGAATGGTAAAGAGTATCGTATATATTCAGAAAAGAAAATTAAAAGTGGGGGTCTGTGATGTTATTTTTTAGATATTACTAAAATAGTGCTAATTTTAAGCTTAAATTAGGGCTATTTTTTTTTCTTCATTTTCACAATTTATTTGCTATATTTATCAAATATGATGATAGAATTCATGACAGTTTATTTAATAGATAATTTAGGACCAGTATAAAACAGTCCACTGCAAAAAAATAACTATGTGTGCAGACTGCATGTAAAAATAGGAATCCAAACCTAACATACTTTAGATACTTCGAAAGAGAAAAAATGATCATTTTCTTCTAAAAATCCTTCCGCCACAAAATATAGTTCCTCGCTTAATGCTTTTGGTATGGAATTCAATCATGGAGTTTTAACTGAATATAGTTAAATTGGCATTGTAGAATCCAAATTTATTGTAAGAATTAAAACATTATGGAGAATTTTTGAAATATAGGTTAAGATAAAAATCTGCTCAAAAGCTCAGGAGCGAACCTCGTTAAGACTCTTGCCTTATTAGCATCAAATTCATTTTTCTACATCCTATATTCTGTCCCGTCTTTGAACAAACCAGAGCAAATCAAGGTTGTCGTCGGTCTGCTACTTTCGTTTTAGAGCGTCTGTCGTTATATTGTCAACATGGTCAAGGACGAATTCTTTTGAAGTTTACTTGTATTTACGATATTTGATGACTTAAACAATATTCGAAGAGCTTTTATAAGCTTATTTTATTAAATGTTTTGACAATTAAAGTTGAACTTATCGACGTTCATCTCGATTGCGATTCATTTCCACATCGCGGCATAAAGTATTCCTACGCTGTACAAAAATAACAGATTGTATGGAGGCTTCAAAGAGAAATAATTTTAAAACTTCGTAATTGGAATTATAAGAATTAAACGTTCTTTTTTCAGAATCTATCGATGTGTAAACACATGCCTTTGTACTCACAAACTTTACATAAATTTGTGAGTACAAAGGCATGAGTTTACACATCGATAAATTCTGAAAAAAGAACATTTAACCCTATAATATATATATATATATATATATATATATATATATATATATATATATATATATATATATATATATATATATATATATATATATATATATATATATATATATATATATATATATATATTCAATAAAACAGTTTCCAAACTTCATTTCACTAGCGCTTTACGGATTTTCATACATCTATCTTCAGGTGTACATACATACATTTGCTGTGATTTCTACTAAGCCAACTGTGAAAGTGATCTGAAAGCCATTTTTGTGTATATACACGTAGAAACTCGCGCTATGGTGACGTCACATAAAGGCTACAGAGACGTTAACGAAAATATAACAATACAGGGCATCGAGAAATTCAAATATTGAGTATATTTTTGGTGCTTTTTAACTGTAATGTAAAATGCAGATATAAGGAATGTTTTAAAGTTTAGTGTGAATTATAGATGCCTACATGACAAATATGATCCTTTTGCTCAGAAACGTTAACTATGACCCTGGACTACATGACGTCATAGTTAACGTCAATAAGCCAAACAATCTGTTCAAATGTATTTACGTCAGAAGATATATGCATGAAATTCGAGAAAGCGCTAGTGAAAGGAAATCTGGAATATGTGCATTTTCTTTTTCTTTTATAATTATTTTTACCGTGTGACATATATTTATCATTTTGTATACAACTTCATATCTTACTCACTTTCTGAGAATTCTTGGGGAAAACACCAACTTCACAGGCTATAGTGATGTAATTACTTCCTTTAAACCTGAACCCATATATCTTGGCGGCAATGACATCAGTTTTGTTTTGGTATTTGTTTATAGATGACAATAATTCCTCGTGTACTTTGCATCCCGTTCTATTATGAAAAAGCGTAAAGCTGCATTGTTCTTTGAAAAGAACTTAAGCTTGTGTTAAAAAAGACAAATATAACCCAGTTATCAATGACACAAAACCAATAAAATATACATATTGCGCACAAGGCAAATAAATAAATGAATGAATAAAAAGATAAATAACAAAACGAATGAATAAAAAATTATATATAAAAAATATTTTCAATATGAATACTTACACCGCACATACCATGTTTACTTTATGATTGTGTGGAAGGCAAATTGCATTTTATCGGTTCCAAAAAACGAAACTGTTTGCCTGAGTTTGTTAGGCTAAGGACAAATGTTTGGTTTAGGGGTTCGATGAAACGCATTTTGCACAAAAAACAATTCAGTAAAAGTTTTGCTATACTTTAAACAATTGTTTCTAATGCTTATAATACAATCCATTGACTCATCGAGCAGTCCTACATTATATTTATGGACTTATCAGGAGAAATACTGGAATAGTAATTTATAAAAAAATATATATATATATAGGAGACAATTATTATTAAAAGTATCATCCTTTAACAACGTCTCCGATCTATGTGCATTTAAACTAATTTAGAAGATATTTTGATTAATGAAATGTCGAGTGATGAAAAATAAATTTTATGCTTTCTTCACAGTGAGAGGTGTACAAGCAAATTTTCATAACGCACTTATTGTAGAGACAAGAAGGAAATAAAAGTGGTCTTATATGATCATGTTTTTCCCCTTACTTTTTAAAAATGACAATATTTTTTCCCGAAAAACGAAAGATCATATTTCTTTCGGGAAGATTTGGTATGATGCAGCAAAGAGATTTTTTATATCTAACAACCTTGAAGCCCAACACACTGCGTATAAAACAAATGATATGAAAATTGTTCTTACTTGCTTTCATCCCATAATGAAACATTTTTCCCGCGTTCTCCAGGGACTACTGTTCCTGCATATGCAGTACATTGTTTTGGTATTACCTCATAATGGGAGACTGAAAATGATAATGATAGAGTAAGAAAGGTCCAAAATACTTTTTCTTTACATTGGGACAATTAAAACTAATTTAAATGTCAACATGCAAACATATGCATTGTCGTTAGTAAAGATAAGTTGCTTAAATATGCAAGTACATGTATTACCTGGTAAGTGTACAAGTTTATGATACGCTTGAATATTTCTCAACTACATTTTAAAGAGGTTTACTAGAATTATACATATCTCTATGATATTCAAACCAAAGATTTCTATTCATTTTAAGGACTTAATATGCATATCATAATTAAATAAGGGATATTGTGTATTTTTTCAAAATATGTTTGATAAACTAAGCTGGTATCATGCCAGATTTTGAACTTGTAACACACACCGACATTATTCGATTGCCCCAACAATTTAGATTTTATACGCACATGGCGATTTCTTAATTGCCTTTTTATCTCACCTGAGCCGAAGGCTCAAGTGAGCTTTTCTGATCGAAATTTGTCCGTTGTCTTTCGTCGTCGTCGCTGTTGTTGTCGTTGTAAACTTTTCACATTTTCATCTTCTTCTCAAGAACCACTGGGCCAATTTCAACCAAACTAGCCACAAAGTATCCTTGGGTAAAGGGGATTCAGTTTGTTCAAACGAAGGGCCATGCCTTCTTCCAAGAGGAGATGATCAATTATAAATTCGTGAAAAATTAATGGCATCATTTAAAAATCTTCTTCTCAAGAACCACTGTGCTTGAAAATATGAAACTTATATGAAAGCATCCTCAGGTAGTGTAGATTCAAATTTGTCCAAATCATGACCCCCGGGGGTAGAGTGGGGCCACAATTGGCGACCAAAGTTTTACATGGGAATATGTAGGGTAATTATTTAAGAACACTCAATTATTCTCAAGAACACGAAGCCATGATTGGTCATATTTATATGGAAGCATCCTCAGGTAGTTTACATTCAAGTTTATTCAAATCATGACCTCCGAGGGTAGGGTGGGGCCACAATGGGCGATCAAAGTTTTATATAAGAATATATAGGAAAATTCTTTAAAAATCTTCTCAACGCAGGTAGCTATAGGTTAAGGTTCCCATAGAATATCACAGTGCACTCTGTACCTTCCCTTCTCTTAACTACCAAAATATGACGTCATAATGGAAAATGACGTCATGTCACTGCAAACTTGAGTTGTTATGACGGGGAGAGTGTCATAAACTTTACACTTTATTTCAAACTACATGTAAAATGCTAGATAGCTATTGCAAAATTCACGAGTCATTAAAGGTTTTTTTAAGTCTTATATGTCCGAATTTTTTGAAAATACATCACTTACGTACCCTTCGTTGAAAATCAGCATGTTCAAAATGCTTACGAAAATTAAACTTTTGAAAAGTATACTTTTTTCCCCCGTGGTTGAAGGTAGAATTTTTTTTTGTGTGTGTATAAAAGAGTCTGGCGCTGGTGATTAATGAGGATTAATCTGAGTTTTCTTATGGAAATCTGTAAGAAGAGGTTGTTCTCTAACTGAATCTTGCTTAGGAAAAATGTGTAATGGCTTTCTTTTAATACAGATAACGATATTGTGTGGAAAATACACATACATTTGTAGGTAAGATGAATTTCTCACGAAATATTTTGTACCCAAGTAATACCATGACTTTTCCCAAGCACATTTCGGGTACACAATGATACGATGGGTTTATTTATATGACAGAATATTAATAATTATTTTGTTAATCAGCTGCGCCGAAGCGATTTATGTGAAACACTTCAAAAAATTATAAATGACCGTCACATGATCAACAAAGTCATGTGATACCATGACACATATCTTTAATATATAGCCGAGGGAATCCTTTATATTATTTGGAAGTACTAAAGTACAATGCTTATAAATTGAATCCGAAACCGACCTCGCAATGCAATATTATGCTTTGAGCGCATTTCAAAGCTTCGGGAAGCCTTAACATAGCTGCGAAGAACAACAAAGCCGTGATTGGTCATATTTATATCGAAGCATCCTCAGATAGTGTAGATTCAAGTTTGTTCAAATCATAACCCCCCCCCCCTCCCCTGGGTAGGGTGGGGCCACAATGGTCGATCAAAGTTTTACATAGGAATATATAGTAAAAATCTTTAAAAATCTTCTTCTCAAGAAAAGCATAGCTATGTTTAGTCGTATTTATATGGTAGCATCCTCAGATAGTGTACATTCAAGTTGGTTCAAACCCTCAACCCCATGGGTAGGGTGGGGCCACAATGGGCGATCAAAGTTTTACATAGGAATACATAGGAAAAATATTTAAGAATCTTCTTCTCAAGAACAGCAAAGCCATGATTGGTCATATTTAAATGGAAGCATGCTCAGGTAATGTAGATTCAAGTTTGTTCAAATCATGACCCCCAGGAGAATAGAGGGGTCATAACAGGGGATAATGGTCATACAAATGATTTATCAATAAATATTTTCTTCTTAAGAACAGCAAAGCCATTATTTTTCATATATATTCAAAACATCCCAATGAAGTATAGATTCAAGTTGGTTCACCCCCCCCCCACCTCTTTTATTTTTAAACTTTTCAAGACTAAACTGATTTCTACGGTTTCCTAGCCAATATGGCCCCTGTGCCTCCTGTTTTATTTACATTTCACGTGTCATCAGAATATGAACTATTCTGTACAGAGCTTGATGATATCGAAAATTGTATTGTTAAAAATTGTCCTTATGTTTACGTGTTGTCATATGCTGAAGGAAATTGACTTGTCATGACAAAATGCATAAGAAATCAATTATGACTGTGAAGTCTTAATTCGTTTTACTTTAAAAAAAAAGAGGACAATTACAGAAGGTACAGAATACATCCCTTAGTATTCACAATAATTTTTCTTATATTTTTATGACAGAATTCATAATTAATATATGGTGAGTTATTGCATTAACTTTGCTTTTGTTGCATTTTGCAATGGTTTGGGAAAATTGTGCACTAGGATTAAACACAAATACATTTAGATTTCAATAATAAAAAAACAATGCTTATATTACGGATCTTAAAGTGAATTTAGGATATACGATTATTATTTACACAATTCATACATACCTCCAGTATATTTAAGAAACATGAAAAATTCATCTCCAATATAGATCTCGCTGATGTCAGGAGAGTTGATATCCTCGATTGATTTAAAGTGCATTTCAATTGATGATACTTCTTTTTGGTTGTCTGGTAATATGTGGGACCTGAATGTTTTTGAAATTCATCATCAATTTACTTACTTCAATAGTAATGGTTTGACTAAGAACTTTCGAAGTTGATATGTATTCAGGTGCATACATACAATCATTTATACTCTCTTTTTTTTCATAATACAGAAAGTATTGGATTGTATTTAAAATATTGCAACTTTTATCTGAAATACACAATTCCGAATATGGCACATCACACGTTGCAATATTCGATATTTTCCATTTGTATTGTACACCTTTATTTGCATTCTACTTATACTTTTCCATTTTTATTCTTTACTTTTTCCTTTGTATTCTAAAATGTTTAATATGTATTCTATAATTTTCAATGCGTATTCTATAATTATATAATACAATTGGAAAATTATACAATAAAAAGGGACAATTATATGTTTACAATACAAATGAAAGTTACTGTATATAATACAAATATAAATTATGCAATACAAATATAAATTATGCAATACAAATATAAATTATGCAATACAAATGAATAATTATACAATACAAATAAAAATTTTAGAATAGAAACGGAAAGTATAGAATACAAATAGAAAATTATACAATACAAATGGACAATTATACACTACGAGGGTTGTAGAAAAAGTTGGCGGACACGTTGATTTATGGAAAATATATTGTAGACTTTGAAGAATGAAATATATCTAATTAAATTCTTATCGTTTGTTAATTTGTATGTAAGAGGTCGGATCCATTTACTATAACTTGGAAAATATACGATGGTTTTTACTGCGCGGTCAAAGGATTCACGGAACAATCACTTGACGTTTTATGATGTTAGTTGACGTGACAACCTGTATCCAGACCTGTGAAGCGTTTTCATAGTTCTAAATGCATTTCATTTCTACAGACTTTTCATGTCTTTTTCTGACCTAAAAATTGGACAAGTATATCAAGACATGTTATAATTTTTAATAGATGTGTAGTTAACGCCACAAATGCCCTCGCAAGCATCCAAAATTTCAAATGCAATTTTTAGTTTTAAATTTGTATTCAAGCTTGACCCGTATTTTCTGATAAAATAGCTGCATATGTAATTTTAACCTTTTACATACATCCCTACAAAAGTTAAAAAGCAGAAACTGAAAATCTCTTATTTTTTCAACGTTCAGGTTCAAAAATCATCGGACCATGACCAAATTCGAACTTGACCTGTATTTCCTGGTTAAAATCCTGCATATGCAGTTTCAACCTTATACATACATCCCTACAAATGTTAGAGAGTGAAAACTGAAAATTTCTTCCTTTTTTTAAGTTCAAGAGGGATAACTCTGTCAAAAATCATCGGACCATGACCAATTTCGAACTTAATCTGCGTATTCCTCTAACGTATCCAATTGTCAAATTTGTGTTGATTGAAATATGAAGATAACGAACAGTATTCAATCTCGATTGATTGATTGATTGTGTGTTGTTTTATGTCAAATTCCAGAATTTTTCACTCTTTTAGAAACGTCACCATATACCGGTGAAGGGCTTCAAATTTTGACCTTTACTCGGCACTCAGGGCCATGAGCAATGGGGGTCTTTCTCGTGCCAACGTCTGCCGTGACACGGGACCTCGGTTTTTAAGGTCTCATCCGAAGTACCCGCAACGTTCACTTTAAAGTACCGAGCTCATGGCGAAAACGAACAGTTTCACCTATTTTTTATCGACTTATATATAGGTCTGTCGCGGCCGTGGTTCGCACTCACGACCTCCCGATCACGGAGCAAGCGCTCTACCGACTTAGCTACGGTGAACGGTATATTCAATCTCGATAGTCAAATGAAACGATACATATTCTAGTACTGCGGCATAGGTAACCTATTGTGCATTTTGTGATAAAAGCACCGTTTTTTGGCACAAATATAGACATTCACAATATAAAGAAATCTGGATATTGGGCCATCGCAGAATCTAGCCTTGATGGCCATGGCAGCCATTTCACAAAATGGCCCTCAGAAATTACGCTTATGGTTGACATTTACTAATTTCTTGCACGGATTTCCCCTACTATTATGGTTTAAGATAATAAAAATACTTTATGAATTATTAGTAAAAATGTTTGGTGCTTTTAATAAAATATATGCATATGACATCACTTTTTAATATACTATGCCGCTTTTCATAAGATGAAACTAAGATAAAGTCAAAAATAACATTTGCATCTAGCTACCTAAATTAATATTGATTTAATAAATGATCCCTTTTAGATATAATTAAATAGTAAAAGATATTATAAACAACATACCCAGTTATCAACGTCATTTGAATTCAATACAACAGTCTAAGCTGTCCTGCTATATGTCCCAAGTGGTCACAATTACAATATTCACAATGTTGTGATATAAAGTCCATATTGACTTTAAACAAAAAAATAAGCCCTTCGTATAACTTGAGTTTGGGTATTTTACATGGGCTCAAATGACAAGAGAAGTACCTGCACAATTCCGTTTTTTCGCTTTGCTCTTGCTGCATTTTTAAAGAAAATATACATGTATGCATTTTTAACTAGATCTAATGTGAGACTCTTTGAACTTGCTAGAAATTTGATCAAAGAAAGATCTGATGACCATTTGGACAATGATATAAACCATCCATAGTAAATAGTTTGTCACTTGATCCTCGGGCTACATATCCTTACTGAAAATCCTACATGCATAGAATAAAATCACTTTTGGTTCTAAGATGTAGATAACAACCACCACAGAATGGAGATGAGCTCGATTCTTATGCTGAAAGGAAAATGTGAGGTTTCTTTGTTTTATTTGAAAGACAATATAGAGAGGAGATTAACATTTAATCTGAATGAAGTCAAACCCTTCTATCCTGTTACCGATTGCTGGATTTTGTGTTGTTAGGGGTTTTGTGATGAATAGAAATATGGCCGAACAGAATAAAGACGTTCTCTGACTAAAATCTTCAAACTTATCTTTTCCAATTCTATTCAAACTTTCTGCAGAGTTTAATGCAGAATGGTCTGCATGCTCCATAATATCCAGAACTATGAGGCCATTACTTAATTTTTCAGAGGGATTGTTAGTCATTGATCAAACAAGAGATCAAACACCTGTAGCAAACAAGGTGTATACACTTGTAATTTGATATTGATGACATTTTTTTTCTGTGGGGTCATCATGACACTTCTGTATTAATCTCTGGTCCAGCTAGCATCTACCTTCCATCAGAGAAGAACTAATTCTTCATTGAAAAGGAAACAGTTTCTTTCTAATCCTTGATATATACATTCTTAGGTGTTTGTATCTGATCAATGGGAAAACAGATAACACCCTCTTGGTATCCCTTTCTTCATGGTTTACTTTAAGGTATTTTGATATATCACTAAAATGAATAGTATCCAACAACAGATTGCAAGCTCTATAAGAGCTGGAAATGATCGAAGCTGTGGGCTTAAAACGAAGGTCAATTCACACAACAGTCTAAAATTACTAAAAATGGGAATAAAATTGATCCCTTTCTTTGCAAGAGTTTTTGAACTCCAAAATTTTATTTTCAGTTTCTGTGAATATCATTCAATAACAGTCAATAGCACGTTGCTAATGTATGAAATATGAAGTTTTGAACAGCAATCAAGCTCAAATGTCTAATACAACGTTACAAATTCGGAGCAATCAGCATAAACGGAACTCTAAAGACATAAGAGGTGGGATCAAGTGCTATGGAGGAGTAAGCATCCCCTGTCGATCGGTCACATTTGCTGTGTGCTCCTTGTCTTGATGGGTAAACGAAAATATCCGTAGTAAATTCAGTGAAATAATGGCTTTACATCTTGATAAACACAAGACAGAGACGGTTACCTCATGTTCTCTTCTTGAACAAGAATCATAGGATGCATGTGAGAAAAGGACATCTTTCTCTGTAGTCGTAATATCTGTTTTTGAAAAGTGACTGGATGGATTAGTAAACCCAGCCGTTCTCATAATTTAAAGAATCTGATGTGATTACTTTTAACTTAACGCCTTGGGCAACAATGCATAATATAACTAAGTAAACTTGACCATTCTGTTCTTCAAAAGAATTCCGTTTTTCTTTCAATTCACCGAAAGTTTTTGCCACGTACTCTGCACTCATCCTAACCCCCCAAAGGGGCCATGACATTTGAATCCACACAACATTGAGATGTTTCAGTATTCATATGGCTAAATATGGCCATTTCATGGCGGGGGCATAAAAATGTCTTTTATGGCGTATCAGATATTAGTGAGATGTTTAAACCAATGTCTACGCAGTTCAGCGATCAGATATACGAGAAACACTGCAAATTCCATAGGCGCAACGTCCATGCAAAGAGCAGGATTTTGGGGGTATCGCAGGAGTTGAAAATAAAAAAAAATGTCCATCCTTTCATTCTTAAAAAGTTCTACCACATGAACATTGTGGTACTAGATACGTGTAAGCCATCCCCAGCAGCATCTAAAAATATATTTATATCTTTCGGGCATTTTCCTGTCTGCACACAATTTTTTTTAAAAGCTTGGTGCTCCTAGACGTTCAATGACGTTACCATTTTTTTTTTTTTTAACGCATTGATCATTTACATGTATAATTAGCGATACAACAGTCAAAACTTCTCCAATTTTATTCAAAAGTTCGCTAAATGACGTTTCATGAATATCTTAGAGAGATGTGAAATATCATAAATCTTAATACGCTACAACAGTGCAATTTTTAATTTCAAAATTATGTCTCTAAATTGTAAAGCTGCAATAATTTAGCTAGGTATACTTTAAAAAAAAGATCATCGGAAAACACATATTCTTTGTACATTAATAGGAAAATGCGTATAGCTTTTTTTAATGCAGAGTTTTACTGATTTCATACAAATAGCGCGCTCACAACAGAACTTGTCCGCGAATATTCTAACAATCCTAGTACAAATGAAAGTTGTACAATGCAAATTAATATTATATTAAACAAATATAAATTATGCAATTCAAATGAAAAAAAAATACAACACAAATAAAAAAAAGTTTAGAATGCAAATGGAAAATTATACAATACAAATGTAAAATTATACAATACAAATGAAAAAAATTGAATATTGCGACGTTTGACATGCCATACACATACTTCTGCACAGATGGCACAAATTAGAGGGGGAAAAGTAGAAGCATATTAGAAAAAATGCAGCATTTCTTTGATCAGAGTACACCTGATAGACCGGACGCAATTCATAGCGCTCCGGATTTCTTTCTTCACAACTGTTTATAAACTTCTTAACTTTTTTCTTTGTCCTGAGGAAGGGACAGGTCGTCCCACAAAATTTGACAATTTTTATTGTTCGTGTCGTTGGTCATTTTAAGTTCTTTATAGAAATTTCCATCCGTGACCTTGTATCTACATAGTAGATCCGACACTTAGGATATACAGTGTTGTTGGTTTTTAGTGCTTTATATATATATATATATATATATATATATATATATATATATATATATATATATATATATATATATATATATATATATATATATATATATATATATATATGTGTGTGTGTGTGTGTGTGTGTGTGTGTGTGTGTGTGGGTGTGGGTGTGTGGGTGTGCTAAATGGGCTAGATCTAAATGTATTAATGTATTGCAGTAGCAAAATTGGATATATGAATGGGTAAATGTTTTTGTTTAAGCAAGATGAAAAAGAACCTTGATAGAGCCGAATGAGTAGAGAGAAAACACCATCGGGCTTTCGGTTCTCGGAGGGAATGTTTTCTCTACTAAAGTATTCCACACCATCTCGTTATTCATACATTCCATAATGACCGATGTGAGACAAGTATCAAAAAATATATAGAAGAATATCCGAATTGAATTCAGACATTTTTCGAAGGCTACATAAATGTAACGATAAAATATATTATTTTCTCAATAAAACGATACATACCCTCCTTCAAAAACATGTGCAACAGTTTTATTTACTCCAGCATTTGGGATGTTAAGGCATCTTATTTTAAATTTATGGTTGTTGTGTCCTCCAATAAAAACTTGGGTCGTTGTAGATAAAGTTTTGTTCGCTGATACAGTTGTGGCACTTGTGGTTTCATCAAATATTGGATCTTTAACACTTATTTCTACTTCAATTGCAGTGGGAGTTTCCTGCAATTTGTTAAAACTGTATTGTAGAATTTGCTACAATAAATGTACGTATTGACGTGATCTGGTTAAAATATTTGATACAAATGTTTTACAATGTACAAACATATTTTAGATCGATCGAGATGCAGGATTTTGAAAACAGGGAAAAATAAGATAAAAGAATCTATTTTAAAACAAATGTTCATTCAAAAACCTGTCTTACAAATACGTGTATCTTAGGCACAAAAAAAATCATTGAAAAAGGTGACATTAAATGATCTTATTCAAATTAGCAAATATAAAATTTGATAAAAGAAATCAGACCCCCTTCACTTCATCAGTGCAATTATACGAAATATTAAAAATTCCTTCATGTTGTGTCAGAGGTGTATTTTTGCAAGTTCCATTCGAAATGATCACTGTACTATCCTTATGAATCCCAAAAATTTCTATGCCTTCACTCTCACGGCATCCTGGAAATAAAAATATGTTTTTGACTAATTCATTGCAAGGAACTTCATTCGTCATTCACATTTTACTTATATGGAATATTCTTTCTATTTCCATTAAAAATAGAAACAAAATTACACAAACATGACATACTAAAACTATAGTGAGGATGCATCCAGTCAGCAAGCGCTTGGCCAGAGATCTTAAAAGAGGAAGAGAAATGAATGAATAATTGTAAAAAAAAATATGTATCAATTATAGATTGGCTTCAGAGAGTGTGTATCTTCGACAACCTCTAAAATTATTTCTCTTTTCATCTTATTGTATTACAGAGGATTCTTTCTCTTTTCATCTTATTGTATTACAGAGGATTCCTACTCAGTCCTTCTTGGCAGCTGATCCAACCTCTGGTGTTTCCATGGGTCCGTATTTTTGCCCTGTTCATGATTAGTTTTGTTGACGTGATTGATGAGGGTGATCAATGTTCGTTATTTTCACCTTTTATACATTATTGGTAATAAAAATTTATGAAAATTGAATTGTGAAAAAGGATGGATATATAAATATATATAATGTTCCATAACATTAACTTCAAAAGTTATTAATATTCAAAGGAACGTCGTTTCTTTAACATTTAAAGATTAAGGAGTCATCAGATTTTTGCATATGGAAAAAAAACATCCTTAAAAATAGTCTCATTAAAAAGTAGTGCTAATTGTAACGGGAACCGTTACAGATGTTCCCCAAACGGCTCCCCAATCCCTTATGATGCTCCATTCCCTGAAAGCTTCATTATACTAGACAATACTTTTGTAATATAGTTGGACACTTTATTTTTAAGGGTATTTCATCGGAAAACTACTCCGATATAGCTATATGGGTATTAGCCAATCAAATTTCAACGCATGTGCTTGCACATGTTTTCTACATTTTTCACATTAATTTTCCTATAGTGTCTCACAATACATATATTTGTGTTAAATATTAAAGAATTTCATTGAAAAATAAGAGCGATGTACCCCTTTAAGTATTAGCCAATCAGAATTCAGCATACGCGCATGCATGGCGTTGCATTCAATTTTGATAGTATCATAATGTAAGAGCTCTATGTGCCTATCCATGTCGTAAATTTCATCCTTTCTTTTGTTTTTTGAAAACCAAGGGAGTTATAGACATTTAAAGTTTCAACCAATCAGATTGCAGCACACTTGCATGCGCGTGTTTTCAAGAAATTTCTTATATATCATGTTGAAGCACCTTATAATATATACTTATATTCTAAATTTGAAAGCATTTTGTCAAAAAAGAGGGAAATTATTGAAATTTTTGTATCAGCCAATCAGAGAAGAGCACACGTGCATGCGCGTGCGTTCAAGCTAATTTGACCATGTTATCTTGTCTAGACTACTAATATATCTTTATATTTTGAGTTTCAAAGCAATTCATCAAGAAATATTAAAGTTACGGCTTCATCAAGTATATCAATCATTTCACTCATTGCACGCGCGCGCACGTGCATGCATGTGCGCGCAAAATGACCTTCGTTCCGAACACCTACACAACATGCCTATTAACCCTAAAAAGGTTTCATGTCAATCGGATTCTATGAGAACACTCCCGGACAAAAAAGTACCGGAGAAGAAAGTAGAAAAAAAAAGAATAATAAGAAGAAGAAACAGAGTAAAAACAATATGTTCCCAAATTTCGTTTGGGGAACATAATAATGTAATTTAAATCTGGAAAAATATAAAATTAATCAATCTACGTTTTTTTTTACGTATACTCGTAAACACCCATTATTAACACATGGCACCTGATCCCACCTTTGATGTTTTAGAGATCCGTGTTTGCTGTGCTCCTGATTTGTATTGTTTGAATGGATTTTTGAGCTTAAATACTGTTCGTTATATCCATATATTTCATCGTTGCCTTCTTACTTCGCTAATATTTAGAAAAAAAATACAGGTTAAACACAGGTAAATCTGTACCAAATCTGTGTTGGCTAAGTGAGAATAGGATATAGGTGGAGAACAAAAGAATTTGATAACAGGTAGGCTATAGTTTCTTTAAGCTACTACTGTGTTGGCTAAGTGGGGATGAGGTACAGGTAGAAAACAAAATAATTTAGTCACAAGTAGGCTATTGCCTGTTTTAAGCTACTACTGTGTTGGCTAAGTTTGAATGGGTTACAGGTGGAGAACAAAATGATTTAATTACATATTTATTATATTAATAGCATAATATATACAGCCAAACATCGTTATCTCGAGCTCGATATTTTATATCTTATTTGTAATCTATTTTAAAACAATAATTAAATATTATTTATCATAAAAATCAAATAATTTTAGGAAATATTTTCAACATATTGATTTTTCTTCTATTCCTGACTTTTGTTGGGCTGGTTATCTATCAGTGTTGTCATCTCTCTCTTTCTTTAAAATAATTAAATTATAGCTCATCACTGATGTAAACTAAAAATTAATTTATTAAATATTGAATTAAATATTTTTTTCATCAAGATAATATATCAATAAAGCTTTATAGAATAAGAAATTAAAAACGCTTGTGTATGGTAATGATATTTTACTTCTGGTATTTTTTTAACATGGCATAAGAAACCTTAATAAATAAGACAAAAATAAGACTGACAATCATCACAATCACTGTTCACTGCTCACTTTTAAAGAAATATCATTATTATTTTATCTATATAATTTCTGCTCACTCAAAATGAATTAGTTGCGAAGCAGCATCAGCTTAGACCACTATGTCCATTTGCCCTTGACACAGACTGTCCTTGAGACGTTGTAGAAGTGAATCCAGCAGACGATACTATCTTTTTGCGACGCACGACTCATCCTATTGTGATCTGAATTATCTTTGCTTCATTTGAAGCTTGTTCTTTTTGAAGCACTTCGATAAACACAAAGATGTTTGTGTGGGCACGTCTGCACATTCTATTGAACTTGTGGTGCCACCCCTCAACTGCGTTGTTGGTTCTCGGTCTCTCATGATCAAAATGGTTCCACGTTTCAAGATGTCCTTCGACCCAGGTTTCAGTCACATAGTCCTTGAAGCGCATTCCAGCGGTAGTGTTGTCATCATTGTCATCTAAGGACTGGAACAACACATCTTCAACACGGGGACATGGTACCAGAGGGAGGACGGCAGCTCTTCTTACAAGTCTATGGAAGTCCTCGTTCTCCTTAAATTCAGTTGTCAGACCACAGTTTTGGACTTTCCTCGAAATAGACTGAGTGTAGTGGAAAAAGCATCCTCAAATGGTTGTGTTTGGAAAGTTCTCTTTCATTGCATTTCTGGCTGCCACTTAAAAAAAAATCATCCAGGATTCGGTTGTAAGCATGGAATGTCGTTCGTTGACTGTGGTCTTCAAAAGAGAAAACAGTAAGTTGCTTCAGTTTTGTTGGGAAGCAAGCAAACTGTTCCATCAACATCTGCATACAGGGTGTATAGCTGGGTGAATAGAGATGTTCAGGAATAGAAAGTTCCATTACTAAATACGGTTGTGGACTCACAAAGTCTCTGAAGGTTGGAATCAATTGCAAACACAATTATTCTTTTTCCTGCTTCATCTCTGTCATCACATAAAAGCAATCTCTCACGAGCTAAGGTCTATGTCCATGGATCCGTAGATTGATTTCTTCTTGTGTGGTAGGCTGTTTGAGCATCATTTTTCCTCGACTCAGGTACGTACAGATTTGCAGGATTGAAAGGTAGGGATCTGTCTAATCATGTCTATCACAGTGTCATCACAGTCAGCATTCTGGAGTGCTCCTAACTCCTCATCATATATGGATGGTATGAGTGCTGCTTTCTCTCTGCATCTCTTCTTCATTTTTTTGACAAAGGATTCTGTTGCCAAATCAATGAAGTCCCCTTCATGATTTTGAGGCCGACCAAAGGACATAAGGATGTTGTCAATTGTCACAACTGTAGCTTGACACTGTCGGTCTACACATCTCCAATATGTTCGGTCGTTGCGTCTCGTCCTCACTGAATACTTATATCAACCATGAAGAAGGTATAATTTTCTCTGTCGTTCTCTAGAAAGTTGATTTGCGCTTGTAGATTGGCCATTTTCTTCTTCTTTTTTGTTGGATTCAATTTTTATAATGGAAAGCCCAGAAAACAATTAAGATCTCATAATTTTCATGCCTGTGATTCAGTAATTTAATGATCATTATTATGCCTATCTAGCTTATATTCTATAAAAACTAAAGGTGTAATGATACCTTCAATTTGAACCATTTACATGTATAAAGTAGTTACACGAACTTATAACTGGTGTATAGTTATCAAAGTGTTTGCATAATTGTGTATTTCAATTCTATGTTGTATAAAATGTACTTTTGGCTGATAAAAACTCCTTTAAGAAGCGTTTGTGATAGCATAAGAGAACTGTAAAGTAATATCTTTTGAAGTCTGACCATGATTTTTTTAAACGGACAAAAAGATGGAATTGTCGATCTCTTCGAGATGTTGCAAATTAATTTTTAGCAATTTACTTAATGACGGTGGATTTTAAATATTTCTTTTACCAGTGGTATGAATTTTTTTCCACACAAGCATTTTCTTTGCGATTTTCCCCATTGTTTACGTCTCAATATAGATATTGATACCCCCATGTCATTTTCATACAAACAGGGACGTAACAGTTTACTCTTAAACTTTGTGATTATGATAATGAATTTAAATCAAACAGACCTTTACTTTAAAAAAAATCATGGGCAGTTTAAAGCGGTATTTTCTGCTCCAGGCAAATCTTGTTACCGTCTCCTTACAAGACGTTATCTAAAGTTAAAGTATTTTACAGTCTTCGGACTACGCACTTCCTCTTATGATTTGTAGAAAACGCATGATATGAAAATTTTCAATTATTTCATTGGTTGAAATGCTGTTGAGGACAGGGAGATAATTTGCTGGTGATATGATTTTCGTACGACTTAACAATTCTTCAAGATTATTATTCTTCAAAAAAATCTACAAAAACGACCAAAGAAAATTGCATTAAATTGCAATAAATAAAACTGACACTTCAATTTTTATAGCAATTATATAAATGCATTTTTTTATAGCAATATATAAATGCATATTCATGGTAAACAGAAATGTTCTTTTTTGCATGCAAATATTGAAATTTGTATTTATTCTTTTTACTTTAAAAAAGTCTTTCATTTG